CCCCCTCACTGACTCTTCGACACGTGCTTGACCCAGCATAGACATCCTCTATGTTTTCTGAGTTTGAGAATCATCCTCGTTAACAAAACAGACCATGCAGCCTTTCGTCGAGTGTGATTGCAGCCCATGCCGCTAGACGCTTCCAGGATAGTTAGAAGTGGACACTGACTTGTGACGCCCATTGACTTCATCAGCAGTCGCAAGGTAAGCGTCAATAGGTTAAAAAAAAACTGCCGAAAGATGAACGCCCTGGTTGGTTTCGATCACACCTTGAGGTTTTCCGTATAAGAAGGCAGGTGGACCTGACTAGACCATGGAATACTCTGTTGAAAGGTGTTAGTGACTGTTCAAGTGACGCCTTCTCTAGCCAACTAGACCTACGGCAAGAATACACTGCTACAGTGAGACTATGATGTGCTACTCGGCTTCCTCGCGTTCCAATACTGACAGCCTTGCATCTCGTATAGCCGCGACAACGTTCTGTCGTAGGCAAAGAGCTCATCTTCTCCAGAAAAAACATTGACATCCACTTCAGCCTGCATAATTCTTATTTTAGAAATAGAAACTTCAATAGCATCGCTCGCTGTATCTAGAAATATTTACCGTGGGATCATCCTTGCTCAAATCGTCCATTAATTGTCTTTGTGAGTCACTGAGCTCAGTCGCCTTCTCCGCATCATCAGACAGCTGGAAAAGTTTGTCTAGCGTTGCTTCTGCACTAACAACTAGACGAACCTGAAAAAAAGTTGATAAGCCAGATAAAAATCTAACGCGATATCATGTTAAAGTGAGCATTTTAAAACGTAATTAGTATCCAAGGGCTATCTATCGCTGAACCTTATTGTGAGTGTAATTCCGACGTCCAAGTCTGGTGACAAGGCCCACACATCTCAACTAGTTCAATGAACAATCTTACAACCTGGTAGAGGTACAGCAATATGAAAATAGCTGCTTCAAGAACTGCTTAGTATCTCAAAAATGAATAAGAATGAAGATGCAAAGAAAATGTCAAAATATAGCCAGCTTTAGGACTACAGACACAAAAGCCTAGACCTTTCCCAAAATCGATAATGTAGGTGAGGACAGGTTTGCTCCCAATCCTCAACAACTACTAAACAAGCCAGAGTTTAGATCACAGAAGCAGAAGCTTGAAACTCCTGACTCAGTTACTACTTTTCAATCAGAAGCAGTCCGGTTGCATTCCAAAACCTTCAACATAATTACATGAACTCAGCTTGTAAGGGTACTCATATCGCGCTCGGGAGCTCAGGGAAATGTCAGAGACCATTTCAAACGTGATATACGATATTTTCTGTTTACTAGTCGCAAGGTATACTGCGAGCTGCTCTAGAGTGAGCCAGTTTGGAAGGAATAACTCCCGATAATTTCGTGGTACCCTTTTCAAGTTACGAAATGAAAGTGTTGGTCAAATTAGTGCATCGGAGACGAATAAACAAAAAACAGCCTCTTCAGGGCCTTTAAAAACGCCCCCCCCCCCGATAAGGTCGAAACGATGCTGAGCTTTGAGCCCTTACTGCGTAGTATCTAGATTTTTTTCAACGACCATGATCTACCTGGCGCACTTGAGGGCGAAAGAAAAA